ATTTCTTTTTATTTGACAATCTAAGGCAGGGGTGGGGGACCTTTTTTCTGCCAAGGGCCATTTGGATATTTGTAACATCATTCAGGGGTCATACAAAATTATCAACTTAAAAATTAGCCTGCTATATTTGGTCAAACATTTAATTAACCCACCGCTAGCGCCTTGGCAAGGCCAGACCAAATGATTTCACGGGCCTTAATACGGCCCGCTGGCCAGATGTTCCCCACCCCTGATCAAGGAGAAGAGAGGTCAGTGCCCCCAACTAGTCAGGTATTGCATGTTTTGTTTTGTTTTGTTTTAAATATGTTTTTATTTCCTGGCCAGTGTTGCTCAGTGGTTCAGTGTCCACCCATGCACCAAGAAGTCACTGGTTCTATTCCAGGTCAGGGCACATGCCTGGGTTACCAGCTGGATCCCTACTTAAGGGGTGTGCAGGAGGCAGCCAATCAATAATTCTCTCTCATCATTGATGTTTCTATTTCTCCCTCTCCCTTCCTCTCTGAAATCAAGAAAATATTTTTTAAAAGGTACAGATTGCATGTATGAGTTGCCTCCCACCTACACAATTATATCTTGACACTAGAAGCCCAGTGCACGAATTCATGCATGGGTAGGGTCCGACAGGCTGGGGGGAGGGGCCATGCGTGGTTGGTTGGCCGGCCCCACCCCCTGGTCGAACTCCTCGTCCAGGGGACAATTTGCATATTTGCCTTTTATTATATAGGATATGTAGAGTAAAATATGATAGCTAACAGAACAGGGTGATGGGCAATAGACAGGACATCCGGTGGGTACGGCTCTGGATCTATCCCAGAGGCTAGCTTCTGGCTTAGAAGAGTTGGCATTACTTGCAAATGTATTACCCTTTGGAATGAGAGCACATTTGGCACCTTAGGGGAATTGCAAAGTCAGAAAGGAGGAGAATTAATATAAACATTATGTTCTGATGAATGAATGACTAAAAAGAAGGCCATAGCAGACCCTGAAGCTTCTGGGAACTATACCTTCCCAACCTCCACACCACATACAGCCCCCAGGAAGACCTGCTGAAATCTGTATGACAGCATATTTTCTTTTTTTAAAAAATATTTTTTTATTTATTTCAGAGAGGAAGGGAGAGGGAGAGATAGAAACATCAATGATTATAGAGAATCATTGATTGGCTGTCTCCTACATGCCCCACACTGGGGATTGAGCCTGCAACCTGGGCATGTGCCCTGACCAGGAATCAAACCATGACCTCCTTATTCATAGGTCAAAGTTCAACCAATAAGTCACACTGGCCAGGTGATAGCATATCTTCTTTTTTTGAAATATATTTTTATTGGGGAGGGTTGGGGGTTAATGGGGGAATGAGGACATATTTGTTATACCTTAACCAATAAAGAAATTAAAGATTTAAAATATATATTTTTTTTATTGATTTCAGAGAGGAAGAGAGAAAAATCCATGATGAGAGAGAATCATTGATCAGCTGCCTCCTGCTCACCCTCTACTAGAGATCAAGCCCCAAACCCGAGCATGTGCCCTTGACCGGAGTCGAACCTGGGACCTTTCAGTTTGCAGACTGATGCTCTATCCATTGAGCCAAACTGGCTAGGGCAGCATATCTGCTTATATTTGAACCATAACGGTCTCCTGAGCCATTTCCCTAATTAAATTTATTACCAAGGGCAGAATGGTGGAATTTTTTTTTCCTGCCAAGCATGCATTCACTATATCTAATGAAAATCATTCAGAGAAACCACCCTTACTCCACTTTCAGACCATGTGGATAAATACGTAACCTAGACCTAAGTCAATCAGCACATAACATTTCCTAAGTTACAGTGATTGTTTCAGGGATGGGCACATAACCCAGCCAGAGCCAAAAATGCACAAGTATTTTCTTTCTGAGAAAGTCTGTTGTTCTTTCCCACTAAGACTACATATGAGAAGATGTAATAGCCGGAACTGCTGCAAACATGTTGATGCCACAAAGGGAGAGCCAATCCAGAGAAAGATATAACTTATTCACTCACTGAACAAAAATCTATTGAGTACCCACTCTGTACAAGACACTGGTCTAAATGCAGGCACTACAGTAGTGAAATATATATTCCTTATATTCATAGAACTCATAATCTAGTAGAGGATATACAATAACAGCAAACACTTACATAGCATTTACTATGTGCCAAGCACTACTCTAAGCACTTTACACATATCAATTCTTGTAATAATAACAACCCTATCAGCCTACTATCATTATCCCTATTTTAAAATAGGAGGAAACTAAAGTAGAGAGAAGTTACTTCCCCAGGCCATGCAATAAATAATGGATCTGAGAATCAAATCTAGGATGTTTGGTTCAATAACCTGTGTGCTCATTCACCATATTATAAACTGCCATGTCAGGAGGGAAGAAAGGTCCTATGAGAAAATTTAACCAATCTTGTAAGGAACAGTCTAGTGAAAGGCCTGCAAGTAAAAGAGAATACCAGGCAATTGGGGACTGAAAAAATTCAATTGAGCTGAAAATTTTCTCCTTGAATTGGGTGACAAAAAATGGGACTGGGAGTGACTTGGTCAGACTGGGGCCATGAGGAGGTTGGTAAGATGAAAGACTCTGAAGACCCTGAGGCAGAAATGAGTTTAGTATATTTAAGAGATGGAAAGCCAGTGTGGCTGAAGCCTTAGGAGTAAGGGCTCAATGTATGCAAGGACTTTGGATTAGCCTAGCTGGAAGAGGAGGCCACAGGAGAATTTTAGGCACCATCTCCTTCCAATTCTATCCCCTTAAGTCTTTCCACCATCATCACTGCACTATTTTAATAAGATAAAATGACACCTATTTGGGACAGGATTTGGAATCAGGGAGGGTTTTTTTGCTTTTCAGATGAAATCAACTAAGCATTTTTAAGACATGCTGACATGAGTACAGTAGAGATAAATTGTCCATACAGAAAAGAAATTTATGGAAAGAGGTTTCTGGAGGTGCAAAACATTTAGCCTTAAGATATGAACATTTATTGACAGCCTATATTGTGTTCAATCATAGATTCACATGAACATATATTTTTTATCATCTTCATTTTACAGGTGAGAAAACTGACACTTGAAAGTTTAAATAACTTATCCAAACTCACATAACTTGTAAGTGTCAAACTGAGATATGAACCCAGACAGCCTGTTTCATTTGATGAGCCTCTCCTAATCTCACAAAATACAAAATTCTCCACAATATCATTTGAGGGAAATTTTCTGGGAAAGAAGAGAATTAACAAGGCACTTTGATTCATTTCCCCTAATTTTTTTATCCTCCCTGGAATTCTGCCATAGTACTATCTATTGCCAGAACTGTAGTACTTAATATGTGTTCCTTGAGTAATTTTGCATTTATGTAATTAAACTCTTCATTCACTGTTTAACCAGTAATTTCCTTTCACCTTAATTGCAGCTAAAATGCATTTCACCTTGCTGTCCATGAAAGATTTCGTATTTTCCTGAGTGCTGGCTGTCCTGTATTTAGTGGCATCTTGCTTTTTGGGCATATGGGTGCCCAAAGAACATCCAGAATATCATGTTCCCAGAAAGCTGTTTCTTCCACTAATAGAGCAGGCAGCCTGAAGCTGGAACCTGGTGCCATGTGCAAACCATCAGCGTACTTGGCTGCCCTGGCTCGGTCAATCCTGTGTCACTCAGCCTGTCTGGACACTCAGCCTCCATTCCTACAACAGCAGCCTAAGCGAGCTGGTTCTCACCATCTTCCAATAATTCTCTCCTCTCTGTCCTGTATCATCAATTTTTCCCTCTCTACGGGGTCATTGCTATGAACAAACAAAATCTCCCATCTTAAACAAGAAAATAAAACTCTCTCCTAACCCCTCTTCTGTTACCACTCCCTTCTGCTCTGCTCCTCTGGGAAGAGTATACACACACACACACACACACACACACACACACACACACACACATATATATTCTGGCTATCCTTAATTCCTCCCATCTCATTTTCTCTTAAACCCACTCCATTTAGACTTTTACCCAGATCACTATACCGAACTGTTCCTGACAGGTCACTAACATCACACATACACACAGCCCCCAGGAGACAAGTGATGGAAGAATTTTGTCTGTTTTGTTTATTGGTGTATCCCCGGAATCCTGACAGAGCCTGTATATAGTATATACTTAATGCATTCCCATCCCCTTCAATTCCCGCAGCAGTTATCTCTCAATTTCAAGAGCCCGATCGAGAAACTTCAAAGGATGAAGGGGGCTTTAAGGCCACAAATCGGCCAAGGTAAGTCAACTTCCACAGGCCGCTAAGGCAGTCTGGGAGATCCTAGATGGCTGAACAGCTTCTTCTCCTTTTGCAGACCCTCTGCCTTTTCTCCAGAATGGAAGGACCCCAGGGAGGAGACAGTAGCTGAGGTTTACAGCAGGGAAATCGGGAGAAGCTGCCCATCAGGAACACCGACCCAGGCACCACTCCTTCCAGGAGGCTCGCCTACAGTGAAAGTGAAGATTGCCGGGCGCCGCTCCCGACCGCTAGACAAGCTCAGTGTGGAACCGGGAGAGGACCTGCAATCCTGAGACTGGAGAGGACTGAAACGACCCTTACGGGGCCCGGTGGAACAGTGCCCGCTGCCTCGCCAAGACCACTGCTCCTGCGGTGCGCGGGTTTCTCCAGCTGGGTGAAATCTGGCGCTGAGAGAACGCTTTCTGCCGCTTGGCCTTGTGGGAGATGTAGTTTTTCAGGACACTGGGCTAGAAGGGCCTTTTACAAAACTGGCAGAAAAGAAAACACGATGTGTATAGGACTCCAAAACGACCATGATGCTCACATTCTAAATAATTCCTTCTCCCTTTTCTGGATCTCGGCCAGTTTCCGGAGTAGTTCTCCCGCACCCCCTCCCACGTCGCTGGCGTCTCCCTCTCTGGGCCGATCCAGCTCTCTCCACTCGCTCGCTTCCTGCCGCTCTGTCCAATCGCAGGGGAGCTCCCGGCCAATTCCCGGAGTGCTTTGCGGCTGTCATGGCGGCCCCCGGGCGGCGCGGGGCTACGCTGTTTCCAGCAGTGTTGGGGTTTTGGCAGCTGGGTCCTGTCGCCGCGAGGGAGTGGGCGACCCGGTTCCCGTCGCTCTTGGGCTGTCAGCGGAGGTGCGTGTCCCGTGTGGCAGGCGCCACTTCCTCTGGTCCCCTCTCGGCCTCGGCTTCCAGGCGTTATGGCTCGAACTCAGCCCTGGACCGCTTCCTCGGACTCTCACAGCCCGACAGTTCGTTAACGTTGGCTCCTCGCGTCCCCGCCGTGTCCATGAACAGAGGTAAAGGGCCCAGATGGATTTGCCCGGGACTGTCACGGTTTTATCACTGAAAGTACCGTATCGGGGGAAACCCTCAATCTGGGGATACTATTTTTGGCCCCGTGTTATAGAAAACAGTCTAAGGGCCTCGAGAGAGAGGAGCAGTGAAGGATCTCAGAAGGGAGAGATACCAGGTTCTAAGAGTTTGGGACCAGAGGGAGCCCATCTGGTCACAACCAGAAACGCTCACAAAGCACCCGATTGAAGGACCACAGGCCAGGCAGAGTTGTGGCTCGCTGACCCCACGTGGGAAGCTGACTCGATCCAATAAGTACCCCCTGTACTTGGCAAGACATGAATTACACCTGGGAAATAGCGCCCTCTGTTCCGGTAGGGAGTAGTATGGAGTAGAGCAGTGGTCCTCAACCTTCCTAATGCCGCGACCCTTTAATACAGTTCCTCATGTTGTGGTGACCCCCAACCATAAAATTATTTTCGTTGCTACTTCATAACTGTAATGTTGCTACTGTTATGAATCGTCATGTAAATATCTGATATGCAGGATGTATTTTCTTTGTTACAAATTGAACATAATTAAAGCATAGTGATTAATCACAAAAACAATATGTAATTATATACGTGTTTTCCGATGGTCTTAGGCGACTCCTGTGAAAGGGTGGTTCGACCCCCAAAGGGGTCGCAACCCACAGGTTGAGAACCGCTGGACTAGAGTCTGGACACAAACTGGTCATTGTAGTGCAACATCATAAGAAGCTGATACAAAAAGACTCAATGCTTTCAGAGCCTTCATTACCCCATAGGAAGGTGTGACTGTCAGGGCTGGAGGGATGTCTGGCTTTATCTGGTCTATCTGTGTTCTCGTGTACATATATTTACAGGCACAACCACACAGTGTAGTTCCACACAGTAATTGAGTTTTGTTTTGTTTTTTTAGTAATTGATTATTAAGTGCCAGGGATTGTGCTGAGTGGTTTCACACAATTTCTAATTGTCTAAAGAAAGTTATAGCCCTGACCGGTTTGGCTCAGTGGATAGAGTGCCGGCCTGCGGACTGAAGGGTCCCAGGTTCAATTCTGGTCAAGGGCATGTACCTTGGTTGCAGGCACATCTTCAGTAGGAGGTGTGCAGGAGGCAGCTGATCGATGTTTCTCTCTCATCGATGTTTCTAACTCTCTATCCCTCTCCCTTGCTCTCTGTAAAAAGTCAATAAAATATATTTTTTAAAAAAGAAAGTTATAAGTAGGTATCATCAATATCATCTTCATTTCACATGTGAGAAATCTAAGGAATTTAGAGAGGTTAGAGGACTTGATAAAGTCATATGAACTAGTTAATGGACAAAGTCGCAAAGCCAAGTCTCAGCTTCAACCTGGTACCTAATCTTGTACTCCTACTCCCTTTGTGGGTGGGTAGGACTTTGTGCCTGACAGGATCCAGATTGTACTCTCTCACTCCTCTCCTTTCCCCGCACAGATGAGCAGACTCTCCTCTTGGCTCATCCCCCCAACATGCCCGCGAATCCCCGAGTCCTACGAGTGGCCATTCTGGGTGCCCCGAATGCAGGAAAGTCAACACTCTCCAACCAGCTGCTGGGCCGAAAAGTATGCTACATCCTCGACAACCCCCTACTCCCCCCTGTCCGCCTCCCCCCACCCACCCACACACACACACACACACACACACACACACACACACTTTTCATCTCTCCATGTATTGTTTTAAAGGGACCTGGGACCTCACTTGGAACTTCTTTGTTTCTGTCAGGTGTTTCCTGTCTCCAAGAAGGTGCACACTACTCGCTGCCAGGCTCTGGGGGTCATCACAGAGGAAGAGGCTCAGGTGGTGGGTACCTGCGACAGGACAGAGGGTGAAGCTCAAAGGGCTCCTGACATCAAGGGTGGCCTTTCTCTCACTCCCAATCATATCTTTCCTCCTGAGGGCTGGGGGTCTGAGAAACCTTCTTTTCTGATTTTAGATTCTACTTGACACACCTGGCCTGATCAGCCCTGTTAAAAAAAAAAGGTAATTGTGATGGAAACAAGAGTTATAAAGCAGTGGTTCTCAACCTTCCTAATGCCGCGACCCTTTAATACAGTTCCTCATGTTGTGGTGACCCCCAACCATAAAATTATTTTCGTTGCTACTTCATAACTGTAATTTTGCTATTGTTATGAATCGTAATGTAAATATCTGATATTCGGGATGTATTTAGGCGACCCCTGTGAAAGGGTCGTTTGACCCCCAAAGGGGTCTCAACCCACAGGTTTATAATATAAAGGGAAAAGTGTTGAAGAGTGGGTGGGGAAATTCCATCATCGGGGCTGGAAGACCCTCTTATCACACCCCATCCCTTATCAGGAGTAAATCAGTCACAAGGCCCTTCCTGACTTACATGTTTGTCCCTCAGGCACAATCTGGAGCTCTCTTTGTTGGAAGACCCATGGAAGAGCATGGAATCTGCTGATCTGGGTTAGGCTCACGATGGGAATCTGAAGCCCAGTTTTCAATGCTGTGGCCTCTCATTCCTGATAGTTTGGGAGATGGGGTTGGCCAGAGCTCATGCATTGGAAGTTCTTGGGGGGTGAGGAAAAGAGTGGTCATTTCTTTGTTCTCCCCACCCTTCCAACTTCTTCCAGTTATGGTTCTTGTGGATGTCTCTGACAAGTGGACTCGGAACCAGCTCAGCCCCCAAGTGCTCCAGTGCTTGACCCAGTTCTCCCAAGTCCCCAGCATCCTTGTCATGAACAAGGTGAACACCACATACCTGAGGAAGGGGTTTATTTTCCTTCAAGGCCCCCACCTTGCTGACCACACACCCTCTGCCCATCCCCCATGCCCAGGTAGATTGCCTAAAGCAGAAATCAGTTCTCCTGGAGCTCACGGCAGCCCTCACTGAAGGGGTGGTCAATGGCAAGAAGCTCAAGATAAGGCAGGCCTTCCCGTCACAGCCAGGCATCAATTGCCCCAGCCCAGCAGCTAAGGACCCAAACACACAGTCTGTTGGAGGCCCTCGGAGGATTGGCTGGCCCCACTTCCAAGAGATCTTCATGTTGTCAGCCCTAAGCCAGGAGGATGTGAAAATACTAAAGGTCAGTCGGGGGAAGACAAGCCTCAGAGTTCCTATTGGAAGTGGGAGTGAGTAGGAAAGTCCTGGTTGGAACTGAGATGCTCATCTACTCCCTCTGTACCCACAGCAATACCTCCTGGCACAGGCCCGGCCAGGGCCCTGGGAGTTCCATAGTGAAGTCCTCACTAGCCAGACACCTGAGGAGATCTGCTCCAACATCATCCGAGAGAAACTCCTAGAGCACCTGCCCCAGGAGGTGCCCTACAGTGTGCAGCAGGTACAGGCCCAGTGAAAGGATCTGGGGGCTCTCCACCAGCTGGGTCCCAGAGAGGTAGGGGTATGGACCTGTCTGACTAATGTTTCCTTGTGCAGAAAACAGTTGTGTGGGAGGAAGGGCCAAGTGGGCAGCTGGTGATCGTACAGAGGCTTCTGGTGCCCAAAGAATCTCATGTGGTAAGCGGGGCTGGGCTTGGAGGAGAGAGTAAGGCTCTATTAGGCAGGGGTTCTCTCCCTGCTTGGGAGCCCTGAGAGCAGGCTCAGGGTCCCTCTCTTTTATCCCACCCTCAGAGGATCCTGATTGGTCCGAAGGGGAGCCTGATCTCCCGGATTGCAGATGAGGTGGGCCGCGACCTCATGAACATCTTTCTCTGTGATGTTCAGCTACACCTCTCTGTGAAGCTCCTCGATGGACCACCCTCTGCTATCCCAGCCCATGCTTCTAGCAGGAGCTACTGACCAGAATCGTCCCTGCCTGGAACCTGCAGAGACTAGTGAGGGGCATGGACACTGACTGGCTAACTCTGGCTGGCCTAGTCTGCACAGCCCCTGCCCAGCCTGGTCTTGTGTTGAAGGAAGGAACCTATCTTAGCTCAGTCCCCAGGTAATTCCTCTCACTGGGGACACAGATACTTTGGTCTAGAAGTTGGCCCATTGGTGGGAGCAGTGCCACCCTGCTTCCTCCTGTCATTGGGCCCAGAGTTTCTCCCCGAGTTTCCAGTGGTTAGCAGAGAGATCTTTTTTAAAAAATTCTTTATTGTTACAAGTGTTACATAAGTCTCCTTCTCCCCCATTGACATCTCCCCAGCCTCCCCCAACCCCCAGAGAGGAGATCTTTTTCCTCCCCTCTCAGATCCTCCACCTTGAAGTCATATAAGGACCCATGTGTCCTGAGTGCAATAGTGCCTCCCACCTGTTCCCCAAGTCCTTGATACCTCCCACCCCATCATTCTCCCCATTCTTGGATGCTAATAAAGTGAAAAGACAAGCATTCTGGTTCTCACCTTTATTTTTATAGAACAGAAAAGAGAAAACTTACCCATTCCCTCACCCCCACCCTGTTGTCTGAGCTGGAGTCTCCCTCCCTTCCAGTCGTCTGCTCCAGCGTTCTGAGGTCTCTTCTTGGCACGTTTTCTGGGTGCAGCAAGAGAACCGTTACCATTACTAAACTCAGTAATGGTAACGGTTTCCTCGCCATTCCCAAGTGCCCCGTCCGTAGGCAGGCTGTGATAGGCTGACCGGTGAGCGAGGTGGGCTTGTGGCATCCTCTGCCCTTCTCATCAGGCTCCGGAGCTGAGGGTGCCCGGACTAGTACATCATCTATACTGTAGTGTCTCATTGCAAACTTACAGTATACGATGATATCCCAGCCAGGGCCCTGCAGGGGTCACAGGAAGCATGGCTTAGAGAGCGCTGCGGCAGGGAGAGCCAGGGCCTGGGGGCAGAGCAGGGCGGGTCAGGACACACAGAGCTCCCCTGTCCTTGCTCCACAGCTCCTGGCCTAGCGTTTTGATTCTGTAGTCAAGAGCTTCCTTCCCATGTGGGTCAGGGGAAGGGCACTGGCCCAGAGAACTCTGCAGAGCAAGGACCTAACTGAGATCACCTTAGGGACCCAGCACCAGCATTAAGCCTGAGATCTCCTAATGAGGCGGAAGGTTGCCTCTGGTCAGACCAACACACAGACCCAAAGGAGGGGCACTCACCTAGAGCAGGAACTGCAGACTGGAGAGGAAGAGACACCCTGTCCCTGCCTCATTCCAAGCGCTGCCTTTTAATCTACTGGCCCCTCCCCTGGGTGGGGCACTTTCCCCTGGGGAAGGCCCTGCCTCTTAACCCTTTCCCTGCTGAACACCTTGGAAGGAAGGTCACTGGCCCCTCTCCCTATTATGCCCTTTCTCACATACTCCTATGGACCTTGCTAAGCCTAGGATCCACTCTGTACTCTCATCCCCATAAAGCTGGTCATCTATCTGCTGGACCAGGGAGGAGAAAGAACAGCCTCACCCCATTTTTCAGGGCTTAATTGCTGGTGGAGGTTTGTGTGTGTGTGTGTGTGTGTGTGTGTGTGTGTGTGTTTTGAATCTCTATAAGGTAGGGAGGAGCCTTACGGCTGGATCTCTAGATTCCTGGGACATGCTCTGGCCTAAATTTCAGTCCCTAGGTCCCTGTCTACTTTTATGCGGAGCCCAAGGAGGCCAGACCTAGGCAGGCAGACCCCTTGCCTACCTCTGCATGGCAAGGTCCTCTAGGTATGTGCCCTGCTGGGAAATTTGAAGGCAGCTGAATCCCACACTCTCATGAGAGCCCACATAAGGGGTCTGTTCTTCCAAGATCAAGGCACTTGGAGTAGGAGCCTGGCAGTATTTGGTTCTCTGCCTCTGGGGAAGATGAGACTCCTGGGTAGAGACTCCTCAAAGCAGGGCTTCTGTTAGACCCCCATTCTTGGGGGACACACATCTGCTTCTTCCATTTTTCCTATCTTAGACAATCTGGTCTGTGTTCTAGGAGGCAGTTACACTCCTCTGCAGGGGAAGATGAGGCCAGGATGGGGAGTGGGAGGAGAGACCCAACCTTCTTCTGGTTCCTTGGAGGTGTTCTAGTTCCGGATGTCACAGAACCTTGGCACATGTGTTTCCCTGGTTGCATGATCTTCCCTCCTTTCTTGTCTAGTTAGCTCCTATTCCCACTTCAGATGTCTAAGGGTCACCTCTTCAGGGAAGTCTTCCCTGGTTAGTTAAATCCCCCAGTTATGGGCTCATTTATTTGTATGATTATTTGCATTAAGTAAATGATTTATGAGGGTCTTGTTTATTCACTAATGTATCTCTACCACAGAGTAGTGACCAAACATTCATGTCAAATGACTGACATGGAACTGAACCCAATGTAATGTGGGGGAGGAGAGAGACTTTGGCCTGGGAAGGCAGATGGACTAAGGTGTTGCTCTCTCAGGCAAGTCATTTTTAATAACAGTTCCCAGTTCACAGAGAGCAGGTGATTAGCTACTAGTAAAACACTGGACAGTGCTAGTGCCGGCCCACAGAAGGGGTTCAAGCAAGTTAATTCCTACTTCACCCTCTTCCCACAGACTCACTGAAGGCACAGGAGAGGCCTGTTGTTGAACATCTGAAAGCTTATAGAATATTATTTTTTTATTTAAATTATTCTTATTGATTTTAGAGAGGGAGAGAGAGATAGAAACACCAATGATGAGAGAGAATCATTGATTGACTGCCTCCTGCACACCCACACTGGGGGATCGGGCCTGCAACCTGGGCTTGTGCCCTGACTGGGAATCGAACCGTGACCTCCTGGTTCATAGGTCGATGCCCAACCACTGAGCCACCTCAGCCAGACTAGAAGATTCTTATTTGTTTATTTTTTTTTACAATCCTCACCCGAGGATATGTTTTCTTACTGATTTTTAGAGAGAGAGGAAGAGGGAGAGAGAGAAATGGATGTGAGAAACATCAATCGGTTGCCTCCCGTACATGCCCCAACTGGGGATTGAAACTACAACTGAGGTATGTGCCCTGATGGGAATTGAGCCCATAACTTTTTGGTGCACAGGACAGCACTCCAACCAACTGAGCCACCCAGCCAGGGTACATGAAATACTCTTGAAAGCAGGTCAAGGCCATTGAGAGAGCCCAGGTTTAGAGGTCACAGGCCTTGAGTGACAGTCCCAACTCTACTGCACCCATCTCTGTGACTTTGGACCAAGTTCCCTCAGCTTCAGTTTCCTCAAATATAAAATGGGAGCTATCCATACCCACCTCATGGTTGCCAGGATGATATAAGCACTGTTTAAGAGAAACTCACAGGCCCAAAATGATGTCACTGTCCTAAAAGCCCATGATGGCAAACCTAGATTACCTGATATAATTGAAGTTTCTACCGTTCCCAGAAATATAATCAGTCTGGAATTTCCTGGTCATGCATCAGTAAGGTAATCTGTCATGTGAGCCCTCTCCATCCCTCCTAGAAAGAAGAGGCAATAAAAACCCTTCTCATTCTCCCCTCCCCCCCAAAAAAAGTCAAGGCCCCCAAATATTCCTTTCTTTTGTTACTAGTCCCTTGCTCCACTCTTCTTCCTATAAAAGCCTTTTATTTTGTACAACCCCTCAGAGAGCCTTTCTAGTTGCTAGATGGGATCCATGAATCCCTTAAAGCCAACTAGACCTTCAAATTTACTTGGTTGACTTTTGTTTTTTTAACAGCATTCATTTCAAACCCAGATCAGAGCCTACCATGTAGAGAACCAATGTCAGTTTTCTTCCCTCCTTTTCTCTCTCATGAGCATGTGACTGGGGGCAAAGTGCCACTTCACTAAGTTGTAAGAATTAAGTGAGAAATAAGTGTGAGAAACCTTTGTAAACCCAGGTGCTCTAACCAAGTGAGGAATTATGTCTATTCTTGCCTCCCTGTGACCCCCTTTCCTGTCCTGTGACCCCTCCTACTCAGAGACCCCACAGATAGTTCAGGCTCCTTTACCAGAGTAAAGGCTTCATGCATTAGGGCTAAACTTTATGCCATTCACTGTCTAGGCTTCTGCTTGACCCCCAAAGGTGAGCATGGACAGAACCCAGGGGTCCTGGAGGTAGAGAAGAACAATATCTCAGCCAACCAGACGTCTGTGGCTTGTGGCCCCGGCTGGGGTGGAGGGGGCTGTGATCAGGGTGTGGGCTGGAGGAGAGTGAGCCTGGGCGGGGTGGTCTGGGGGCCCTGATAAGCAGACGTGTGGTTATCAGGGTGGGGGCCTTTCTGCTTATCAAGAGCCAGCAGGGGCCACAGTAGGACCTGAGGACACTTCCCGCCATCTCCTGATGGCTGCTCTTTAATCCCTGTGCCTCCTTTGAGCCCTAAGGGGGGTGAGGATGGGAGTCCTTCCTTTCTCTAAGTCATATGGAGACTCTACCCTTTGCCTGGCTGGCATGGGGGTGGGGACCTTGGGTTCAGCCTTGCATTCTAAGAGCTTTTACTTCAGACTAGGAGCTGCATGGCTCTCCCGAGGCCAGGGTGGACTAGTCTGGGATCTTATCCTTCTAAAGTCTAATTCTAGTCCTTTCCATTGCAGCTTTTAGTCCTTGACTCTTATTTAGACTTTTTTTAAAATTCTCACCCAAGGATATTATTTCTGTTGATTTTTAGAGCAGCAGTTGATTTTTAGGTTGTCAACTGGAGGTCTGAAAGGCTGGCAGACCGCTGTTTTAGAGAGTAGGAGGGAGGTTCGAGGAGGGAGGATGGGGAGAGAGAAACTTCAGTGGGAGAGAGACACAGCGGGGGATGCCTCCTGCTGAGCAGAGCTGGGTATCGAACCTGCAACCCAGGTACATGCCCTTGACCAGGAATCCAACCCGCAACCCTTCAGTCAGCGAGTCAACGCTCTAACCACTGAGCAAAACCCACCAGGCTTTTGAATGAAGTCCTTAAACCATGTGGCAAGTGATGAAGTTAAAGAGTCCTTCAACATCATGGAGTTCAAGTTCCTCACTTATATAAGAGAAGAAACTGAAGCCCAGAGAAGGGGAAAGAATCATTCAATGCTTCAGTGTTCCCTCTACCTCTCAGCATCAGGGAACCTAGGTCCCTAAGAGGAACAGGAAGGCAACAGTGTATGCCCACAGATACACACACACAATGTGTAAAACACATGTCTGATGCCCACATAGACACACAACACAAGGGGATGCTCATTAAAAAAAAATATGTTCAGACCTGACCAGTTTGGCTCAGTGGATAGAGCGTCAGCCTGCAGACTCAAGGGTCCCGGGTTCGGTTCCGGTCAAGGGCATATACCTTGGTTGTGGGCACATCCCCAGTGGGGGAGTGTGCAGGAGGCAGCTGGTTGATGTTTCTTTCTCATCGATGTTTCTGACTCTTTGTCCTCCCTTCCTCTCTGTAAAAAATCAATAAAATATATTAAATATATATATATATATATATATATATATATATATATGGCTCAGTGGATAGAGCATCGGCCTGCAA